ATCTCCGGGACCCAGTCTCTGACCCGATCTCCTGATCTCCGGGTCTCTGACCTGATCTCCCAGTCTCTGGCCTGATCTCCGACTATTAAGAGAAGACTAGCATATTTATATACCATGGGGGTAGTGGTAAAAGCTTTTAGATACTTTGTGAGATATTCTATTTGCATGTGGAAGTGGGTTTCTGCTAGACTATTGTCTACCTGTAAAAATCACACACAGGAAGGCATGGTATGCATAGAGCCAAAGGCCATGTTTATGTCAAGGCATCTGTGGCGGCCACTTCAAAGGGAGAGACAGGAAAGATGCCAGAAAGCACCTTGCTATGAAAAGGAGCCCGCGGCACATTCCCCGAGCTGCATGAGCTGTCCGGTGTGAAGGGGCTTCGACTTTTGCATAACAGAGGTCTCCCAACACAGACCTACATTATTCTGCCATCAAATATAATTTTCAAAGATCCTCCAAGTTACATGACTCTGGCACATAGACATAAGAACACAACCCAGACCCAATCAACTAACTTCTTGGATAGGAAACTAGAAAATAAGCCTATGAGGGTTTATAGACCATAAGGTCCCTTACAAAACTTTTAAACTCTATGGTTTTAGCACAAAAGCAGCCATGGGCAATATTCCAATAAATTTTATTAATAAACACAAAATTTGAATTGTTCGTGTCATGAAGTACAATTCTTTTTCTCCAACCATTTAAAAACATAAAAACCACTCTTGAGGCATACAAAAGCAATCAATGACCCAAATTTTGGCACATAGGTCAGTCTGACAATCTCTGATCTAGACAACTAAATCAAGCAGAGATTTAACCCATTTTATAAGACACTGGCTATCATTAGAGAAGACCAGGGCAGGTGGTAGTAGTGGACTTCATTTTCCACACACAGAATGATCTGTAGGCAGTTTTTACTAAGATAATTCAGGAGTAAGGGAAATTTCTATCAAAGAATATAAATTTCTGGAGTTGGGGATTTAGCTCATTGGTAGAGCGCTTGCCTAGCAAGCTCAAGGCCCTGGGTTTGGTCCTCAGTGACAAGAAAAGAAAAGAAAAGAAAAGAAGAAAAGAAAAGAAAAGAAAAGAAAAGAAAAGAAAAGAAAAGAAAAGAAAAGAAAAGAAAAGAAAAGAAAAGAAAAGGAAAGGAAAAGAAAAAAAAGAATATAAATTTCTGACTCCACAGATAGACGGTAATGAGTTTGCTCTCTAAAGATAAAAACCTAAAGCTGCCAGGCATGGTGACGCACACCTTTAATCCCAGCACTTGGGAGACAGAGGCAGGTGGATCTCTGTGAGTTCAAGGCCAGCCTGGTCTGCATAGCGAGTTCCAGGACAGCTGGAGCTACAGGGAGACCCTGTCTCAAAAAGACAAAAAACAAAAAACAAAAAAACAAAAAACAAAAACAAAACAAACACCTAGAGCTGTCCTATAGAGTTGTCCATGGAGTTCTCAATGTGGGAAACTGTAATTTTCCATGGCTTTATAGTAAGAAAGGAAGCAGCAATTTAACAATCAAGTAAAGGAAAAGAAGGGCAACAAGATTATTATAATCAGCAGAGTTGAAATTGCAAATTTCCAAACAAACTACAGATTCAGGGATAATATAAAATGGTGACTTCTGAAGTTAAAGCTAGTAAGTACTAATAAATGATGAAGTCAGTTGTATGCAAAAGTGACCTAACCAAAGAAATGGCCTAAAGCCTGTTGTCAAGAGAACACCTCTAAAATCTCATCAGACCCCAAAACAGAAATAACCTGAAGTAACACTTTATTTCAGACAAATTCCTATCAACATGCAGTAGGGTCCTAACAGAAGGACAGTGGCCCACATCAAGACTGAAGAAAAACAAGCCAAACAGAGCCAGTAGGTAAAGTACCTAGTCTACTCAGTGTGCCCATCTTTCTTCTGTCAAGCCCCTATTCAACTATTCACTTTTGGAACAGAATGGCTTCCCAGACTTTCCTACTGGGGATGGACATCTGGCTAAGCCACCCCAGTGTCTCTTCTGCTTTGCAGTTCTAGATTTCCTTATAAACCAAGAAACTAGTGAGCTATGCATGGTGGTTCATGCCTAGTGTAAGAATGGGAAAGATCCTGAGTGTGGGGCTCAACTATGTAGTTGAACCATGTATAAAAATAAGTAAATAATGAAAGGAAAGGAAATATAGTGTCAGTGCACACCTATAATCCCAGCATATGGGAGGTAGAAGCAGGAGTATCAGGAGTTCAAAGACAACCCCAGCTACAAAGGGAGTTTGAGGCTAGCCTGGACTACGTAAGACCCTGTCTCAAAAAAACAAAAAAGGGACTGAAGAGATGGTTCAGCAGTTACGAGCACTTTCTTGCTGCTCTTCCAGAAGACCTGAATGCAGTTCCCAGCACCCACGTCTGGTGACCCACAACCAACTCTAACTCCAGTCTCAAGGAATCTGATAGCCTCTTCTAACCTCCTCAAGCTACCTGCATGCACTTGTACCCATACACAGACACACAATCACACATGCACATGCACACACATATAAATAAAAATAAATCTTAGAAAAAGGAAGGAAATACTAAAGAAAGAAATCCAATGTGCTATTGTCTCTAATTACTTTAATAAACATGAATAATTTTCCAAACCTCTCAATCATAGCCAAGAGTAAACTGATTTAAAAAAAAAAAATCCTGTTATTCCCCATTACACATCACATTACATATGATATGAAATGTATCATATATTTCTTATGAGCTATATATCCTCAAACCTGTAGAACAATTTTTTAAAGCAATTCATGCACACGAACTTTAGATATGACTCCAAAACTTTCATCTTTTTGAGACACGGTCTCCCCACTGTAGTCACAGCTGGTCTGGAACTCGCTATGGAGACTAGGCTGGCCTCGATCTCTCAGAGATTCACCTACCTCTGCCTCCCAAGTACAGGGACTAAAGGCACATACTACCACACCTGGCTTCAAAACTTTTTTGTTTTTGCTTTTTTTAAATTTTTATTTTATGTGCATGAGTGTATTACCTGCATGTATGTGGGTACACCTGTGTCGTGCAATGCTGCGGAGGTCAGAAGAGGGCTTCGGATTCCCCTGGAACTGGAGTTAAGGACGGTTCGTAGCCGCCATGTGGGTGCTGGGAATCAAACCCGGGTCCTCTGCAAGAGCAGTCAGTGCTCTTAACCATTGAGCCATCTCTCCAGCCCCCAAAACTTTTTTAAAAACATTTTATTTAAGCTGGGCGTGGTGGCACATGCCTTATATTGCATAACCTAGTCATACCTATGCCCAGTAAGCAAATTGTGTGTGGTTTCATGGTACTGGGGATCAAATGAAGGGCCCCATACTTGCTAGGAAAATACTTCCTCACTGAGCTACACCCCCACCCCCCAATTGATAAAAAGATATTGGGGGTTTGCTATGTTGCCCAGACTGGTCTTCAACTCGTGGGTTCAAGTCCTCTTCATGCCTTAGCCTCCCAAGTAGCTTGGACTATGGGCATCTGCCACCATGCACAGCTCTCAACATTTACTAAATACCTACTATATGCCAGTCAGTGTCCTAGAGTTAGGGATGGTGAGATGGCTAAGATGTAAGCCCTACTGCCAAAGAATTCACAGCAGTACAGAGAGATATAACACAGACTTAGAACATTATGACTTATATGGTCATAAATGAAATGAGCTTCTAAATAAATATGTTTCAATGAAGATGGTATCAAATAATTACAGATGGTGACCATTAACCCTACAAGTGCTCAACACTACCAAGGAATGGCCTACCTGTTGACATGTTCCTCCCAGTCTTCTGGTGGGGGAGGAGCATCTGCATCTGTCCTGGCGAAGATGACATGCCGCTCACACTCATTCATCACACTTCGAGCCTTCTGATTGTCATAGAGTGGCACAGGAATTGACGTGACTGTCTCCACATCTATTGGAACGTCTGACTCACTGTAAACAGGTGAGGAAATAGGACCAAGCCACATGCACTTCATACAACACAGTTGTTTTAATAATCATCTGCCAGAAAAGGCCTCCTTACTATAATAAGCTTTAAATAATGCAGTCATCTTTTCCATACTCTAGACAAGTATCCCTGCTCTCCCTGGAATGTGCTTGAGAAACACAACGTCCCTTGAACTCACAGGGATCCACCTGCCTCTGCCTCCCAAGTGCTGGGATTAAAGGTGTGTACCACCAGACCTGGCCTCTGTTTTTTAAAGACAGGGTTACAGGGGCTGGAGAGATGGCTCATCAGTTAAGAATACTGGTTGTTCTTGCAGAAGACCTGAGTTCGAATCCTGGCACCCACATGGCAGCTAACAACTGTCCATTAACTCCAGTTCCAGGGGATCCAACAGCCTCTTTCTGTCCTCCACCACACTGCACGACACAGGTGCACTTACCTACATGCAAGTAATACACACATACACATAAAATAAAAATAATAAATAAAATTAGAAGAAAAAAGGCAGGGTTACATACTGGCCTAGAATTTACTATGTTGCCCAGGCTAGCCTTAAATTCTTTAAAAAAAAAAAAAAAAAGAAAGACTTATCTGTGAGATAGAGGCCAGCCTGGTCTATTTATCAAGTTCCAGGTCAGCTGGGGCTACAGGGAGACCCTGTCTCAAAGAGGAAAATGAATGAATAAATAAGTAAATAAATAAACAAACAAACAAAAACCAGTTCCTTAATCACACTAGCCACACTTTAAGTGCTCAAAAGACATATACGGCTACTGACTATAAACCTGGACTTAACAAAATCAGAACATTTCTATCGCAGAGTTCTACTGGACAGCCTTGAGGGGTTTTGTTGTTGCTGTTGCTTTGTCTTTTTTCAAAGACAGTGTCCTCCTGTAGCCATAGTTGACTGGGAACTCACTATGTGGACCAGGCTGTCCTTGATCTCTTACGCGATCTGCCTGCTTCTGCCTCCACCTCCCAGGGGCTGGGATTAAAAGCATTTTAAATTTTTTACATAAACTTTCCCTTTTATTAGCAGGTCAACTGGCAGTTAATTATATGCTTGTAAAAACCTGTGATTGTCTAAGATGGATCACCTGGAATGTAGGCATCTTAGATATTTAACTCAGTTTCTAAACAGTCAGAAACAGGAGTAAATACAAATGGACATCTGAAGGATCTTTCACAATTACAATGATGTTAATGAAATTCTAGTACCATTAAGGCCATCATCTCCTCCCCCTACACTGCACCCATGTTTTCCAAGAAATACTACTACACAAATCAAACTGGTCTACTGCTTGTCTACTAAAGATCATGTTAGCCTTTTGACCTCAATGATTTTACTACATCCATTCTCAATGACCGGAATAATCACATCACTACAAAATAAAATATGCAGCTAGATTTGAGGATGGGCAAAAGAGCTGATTATCTTTGTGCCTCGTGCTTCCCACAACACTAGACTACTACTTGGGCCTGAACACCTACAATACTCCTGTTCTCACCATCCCTAATGCTCCAACTTACAGTATCAACCATCTGTTCAAACCATAAATATGAGTTGTTCCTTTAACTGGGACCCATCTTTCCAACTGGCCATAGAAGTCCTGCTGGGTGTACCTATAAACACATCTCAAGGCCATTCATTTTTTTCTAGTTGTATAGTTCCTGAACCCTATCCAAGTTATGATTTCTGGTTCATCTTAGGCTAATAAGATGGTCTCTTCACTGGTCTTCTAACTTCTTTTCCTGTACTGTAATCTTTTTTTTTTTTGACACATGGTTTTCCTGCAGCCCTAGCTGGCCTGAAACTATGTAGACCAGGCTGGCCTTGAACTCACAGAGATCTGCCTCCCTCTGCCTCCCGAGTGCTGGGATTAAAGGTGAGTGCTGGGATTAAAGGCATGTACCACCATGCCCAGCCAGATCCCCTGTAACTGGAGTTACCGACAGTTGTTAGCTGCCATGTGGGTGTTGGGATTCGAACCCAGGTCTCCTGAAAGAACAGTCAGTGTTCTTAACCGTTGAGCCATCTCTCCAGCTCCTGTAATCCATTTTTAAATCCAAAGAGATCTCATTTTGAAAACATAAAGTGAATCTTCAGCTTCAATGACTTATCACTCTTAGAATCAAAGTTGTATATGAGGCAACCTCTGCCAACTTCTCCCTATCACCATATTCCAGTCATAATAGTCTATAACAGTTATTAAAGCATGCCAAATTCCCACTTGCAGGGCTAGTATACAGAGACAAGGTTCAGATCAGGAAATAGTTTTCTAAAGACCAGAACAACCAACTCCACTGAATCTCATTTTAAGAAAATGTCTTAAGGTAGGAACACATGAATTTCAATGTTAGCAAGCTTTACACAGTCAAGAACAAAAGATTGCAATTCTATTTAAAGGAGCTTCTCAGTTATGCCCCAGGCCAGAGCCATCAAGGTTATGATAGCATGTTCCCCTAAAGTTGTGGATCATGCACCCTGAGAAATCTAAGCCAACAAAATGTTAATGTCACTGGAAAATAAAAATCACACATGCCTATGATCCTGGCACTTGGGAGACAGAGGCAGGAAGATAAGAGCTAAGGCCAACCTGAGCCACAGAGCAAAATCCTGTCTCAAGAACCAAATGAACTAAGCATGAGCATACCCTTATAATCCTAGCACCTCAGAGGCAGAGGCAGAGAGATAAAGAGTTCAAAGTCAACAGGCATGCCCCTAATCTCAGCACTCAGGAAGCAAAGGCACACAGATCTCTGTGAGTTCCAGGCCAGCCTGAGCTGTATGAGATTCCCTCAAAAGAAGGGGGGGGGGGGCAGGTGCATGATGGCACCTGCCTTTAGTCCCAGCACTTGGGAGGCAGAGACAGGTCTACATAAAGACCCTGTCTCAAGACAGAGGGAGGTGGTGTTCAGTCATCTTACATGACATCTTGTCTGGGAAAGAATGAAAATGCTTCAAAACAAACCAACAAAAACACTCTAAGTATTCTACACTTGTTTAAAAAGACAAAACGGTCCCTCTAACTCAGTAAGACTCAAGAGAATATACATTTCAATCCCTCAAAAGAAAAAAAAAAAAAAAACCAAATAAACCCCAGTATTTGAGGAAAGATTACATGAAGTCAAAACAAATCAATCAAAAAGTTTATGATTACTGGCATAGTTTGATCAAGGAATAGGGTATATCAACAAATCTTGCAATGTGTCAAATCAGAATGTTCAAAATTATTACCTAACTAGTTAGGCCAAGTGTAATCTGGATAATCTGGATCACTTATCAGATAGTAAGTTTCTGAAACGTTCTTGCCCTATAATGTAAGGTGGCTGAAAATACAATGAGTTTTAAGAAGGGTTTGGACTAACCCACAGGTTCTGTGAGCAAAGAGGGAAAGCAGTGTCTTGGGAGCTACCTCCTAATCTGCCTGTGACGACAGGAAAAGAGAAAAAGGTGACTGCAGTCAGTCAAGCAAACCAAAGTGGCAAATTGGGTGTAGCAATCCTTCAAAATCAACTTTTCTGGCTTTTTCTTCAGCTGAATCCCCAACAGGTCTTTCCAACAGGTCCTATTATACCTATCTGAGTGGAATAGGTTGTGTTCTCATTTTCACATCTTGCTTTTCTAATTCATGTTTGGAGATGTCTCCTGTGCAGGTGTCCACATTCACTTATGTCTAATATGCTTATGCTGCTTAGCAGAGATGTCTGAGTTAAGGATCCAAGTGCCCCACTATGGTTCCCAAGAACATCTCTAATCCCCACCATCCGATCGTTGCCCCAGTTAGGCAGAAGTAGCCCTTAAGAAGGAAGCCCAAACTCACATGGTATTCTCAAACTCACATAGTATTCTCGTGCTGCCGACGGGGAGTTACAAAGAGCATGCGGGTAGGGCGGGCGCTACTGGCATCTGGGTGGGCACTCCATGGTTTAGCATAGCTATGATCCAGAAAAACGAGGTCCAGCTCCCGCTCGTGCACAGAAAGCTGGAAGAGCAGGGAGGTGCCCATGCGACGAGCTGAAGTCTGGAAGTCCCTCTCCCCACCCCGGTGGGCCATGTCAGTCGTTGGGCAAGTCAGAGCGTGAGTATCTGCATGCTAGTCACCTGCAGTGAAAAGTTCGGGGTTGTCAATTCAAATATTTTCAATGTCTACAAACCTACACTACCTAAATATGCTTTTATGCCCCACTGCCACTTATACTATGGATTATGCACATCTCTGCCCACGTAGGGAGGAGTTCTCACACCACTACCAAAAAAGTGTTCTTCCATACCCAATCCACAAAATTAGGTAACTAGAGGCTGACAGACTCCACAGTTGGCCAAGACCTAAACTTGCTTGGCCACCATCATTTCCTTCCGGCGCGGGAAAGGCTTTGGCAAACAGGAGGAATCACACCACCAATTCTTCAAAGGGTCCCCGGTTTCCTCTGGGGGAGAATGTGTACAGAGCCGCTCAGCTCGCTGGCAGCCCGTGGTGGTCGCAGACCAGGGCTCCAGGGTTCATGGAGGCTCCCGGGGTCTCAAGTTTTGCACCGACTTCACGACGCTGGGAGTTTTCAAAATAACCGAGAGCCCCGCCGCCGGCCTAGAGAAGCCCTGGGAAGCCTTTCTCCGCCGCCTGAGGTGAAGCGCCCGGCAAACCGCCCGCTACCCCGCGGGGCTCCCGCCGCTGACCCTCAAAACCGCAAAACGGCCCACCCAGCAGGCCGGGGAAGGCGGAGGCTCCGGGCCCAGGTGGCTCGGCCAAGGTCACCAGGAGTTCGCCGCCTGGAGGAGCCGCTCAGCCCCCGCCCCTCGCCAGCCGGGCCCGACGCGGCCCCGCGCCTCA